CTTCAATAAAGTCAAGCTTTTTCTGAAATAAATCTGCTCTATGTGTCTATCCCTGAATTCTCTCTTCGGTTAGATGAAAGATTTGCTATCCATCTTCTCTGACATTCCTACCTCAGCCTCCCAAGTACAGGTATTATAGGCATGAATCACCAGGTCTGGCTCGGCCTGCCTTTCTGGTCATTTATGTGAAGTGGGGCTGTGAGGGGCAACGAGGGGACAACCTCTGAAGACACTGGCTTGGCTTATCTTCACTATTCTTGAACCTGACCCACTTCTGAAGCTGTGCCTTTCTGGGAGGTGCTCTATATACTTTGAATATGTCAACAAGGTAAGGATTTTCTGTCAACCCTATCCCTTTCATGAAATTAATTTGATAAAAGAAAAATTTTGTGCTGTCCTAAATTTAATTACAAAGGATGGAGGGTCGAAGGGGTGAGAGATAAGGGAAGTTAATCAGTTAACAGCTGTGGTGAAACTAACAATAGGACTTTTTTCACATTCTTGACTATATGTAGAAACTTTGTCTTAAATCCCATCAGTTCCCTGGGGCCACTGTGCCCTGTCTACTTATAAACTTCCAGAACTATTTAACCTTGACCAATCCAGAAACAACAAGTACTTCTATCCCAAACTTTCCTATCTCAAAGCTTTCCCCACTTTGCATAATCTCATTTTATCTATAGTCAATGCAAAGTCAATGTAAAGAATGTATGCTTTCCTTCCTTAAATTTTATAAAATTACTCTTAGCTGTAGGTCCTATGCCATTTTTTCAACTGCTATTTAGCCTTGTTGCTGGTAGATACAGGAACTTGTCCAATGACCTGGTCTTTTCTTTCTGGCTAGGAGCTGCAAAACAGCTCACTAAACTCTTTTAGTTAGAGATCTCCTGTCTCAAGAGTTTTGTTTAACAGGTTCTACTGGGTGACTTGTAAATGGGAAATACCTAACTGTGTCCCTTCCTCCCTGCATATGCTTATGCTTTTCTTAAATTCCAGTGTCTTTTTCCATCTTGTGAGATGCAAAATGTTGGGAGAAAACAGATTCTTTTTTTCTTTTAAATTAATTAACAGTCTAGCCAGGTTTGACAGTATTTCCTGACCTTCAAAATTATAGTGTCTTTTTTTTATAATGTTAGTAGAACACATGACCCAGATTTATTTGCAATCACAATAAAATATCTCATCCTACTTTTAGGATGTAATTGACAATAAAAACACTACTTGTGTGCTAATATTTTAGATGGGATAATATACTTGAAAGGTTAACTAGCAATTCAAGGCCACATGCAATTAAGTGCTCTAAGAACTCAGAGCAGGGATGGCTGATGTTTAACATGGTCATAGAAGGTGTCAGTTAAGTCGCAGAGGTCTGAATGGAGCCCAGAAGGATGTGCAACATAACTGCTGTGAAAGCCTGAAGGACAGGGACCATGACCTATCACCTTTGTTAGTGTCTAAAGGACCAGGTCTCTCTTGCCCAACTGCACCTGCAATTGTAATGGATTGCTCCTTTAGCGTGGTCCTTTGCCAAATTATTCCCTTTTCCCATCCACAAGGTTGTTGTTCCTCCCTAACCTTACTTTTATGTCTCCTCCCCTTTGTAGGCATTCTAAATTCTAAAGACAAGCTCCACCCAAGGGTTAAGATGTTAACTGCTCAGTCTTTTCTTCAGATTTATAGAACCCAGGACATCTGGTGACCTTTGTAACACCCTCCTTAGTCTTCAGTTCTATACAGCAGCTAACACAAAGTATGTAAATTGATGTGAGGTTTAACTTGCAGAAAAGTAATATGGTGTCTAAAAAGAACTGCAGTAGCTAGTCCCAGGAGGTCAAGGTCTATAGCTATGTTTCTGTTTGGGAGAAGAAGAAAAAGTACATGAATGCTCTAGATGACAAAGACCCCAGGAAGTCCATGTAGCCTTCTTTCCTGCTCCTCCTTTTCCTCCCTACAAGAAGTCCTTTGTACCCCAGAGGCTCCCAAAATAGAGAGGTTGAGCCTTCCCCCAGTGTCCTAAGATGTTCACCCTTGAATCAAACTGATTCTTTCCTACTACCTCTTAACTCCTAAACAGTGACCTTCAAGTAGCAGGCAGCCCAGACTTAATCTGGTAGCACAATAAATATTTATTGAATTGAATTAATTGATAGCTAGAGAGTATGGTAGAGGGGTTCTTAGGGCAGGGCAACAACATAAACATAGTATATAGCTAAGCCTTGTCTGTTAGGAATCCCCAAGAATAGTCCAGCTACAGGAAAGCCTTTTGCCAGGAAATACAGTAACAAAGGCCCAAGTTGGAAAGCCCCACTAAGGCCAAGGAAAAGGATTAGAACTATCCTAAAGCAATGAAGAGTCACAATTTTTTTTTTTTTTTAGTTAGAGAGAAAACAGTATGAAAATTAACAGTAACAGACAAGAAGAATGGGAGGTATGATGTAATTTGTAGTAAGAAATACATATTTCGAGGCCAGGCATGTTGGCTCCGTTGACCTATAATGCTAACTACTAAGGAGGCAGAAATCAGGAGTTCAAAGTAGGAAGCCAACTTGAGCAAACAGTTAGTGCAATCTTATTTCGAAGAACAAGCCAAGCATGGTGGTACACACCTATAACTGGAGCTAAGTGCAAGGAAGAGGTAGAAATTTTGAAATCCAAGGCTAGCCTTGGGCAAAAAGTATGAAACCCTACCTGAAAATAACTAAAAGCAAAAAGAGCTGGGGAAATGGCTCAAGTAGTGGAGTACCTGCCTAGCAAAAGCCAGGCCCTGAGATCAAACTCCAGTACTAAAAAAAACAGAAAGAAAAGAAATCCATATTTGGTCTTTGTCCCCATTTCCTGACCCACAGCTTTTAAAATGCTTGGAGTCTCCAAAGTGATTAGTGTCTTTTCTATGCTAATGAGATGGCTTATGACTGGGGACTTCAGGATGGGAGCTGGTTGTCAGGAGACCAACCATGTGATTAGAGGATGGGAACTTTCAGTAAATATAAATGTTTCCCAAAGTTCTGTGAGTTGCTCTAGCAAATTAATTGAACACATGGAAGAGTCATAGGAAGCCCAACTAACTGCTGCTTGGTCAGAAATACAGGTCACAGTCTGGTATGTGACCAGCATCTAAAGTGAGAGCAGTCTATGGTACTGAGCCCTCAGCCTGTGGGATCTGACCCTGTCCCCATCAGACATTCTTATATGACATCCAGTTACTATCTGATGGCTACGTGGGATAAAATCCCTACACACATTTTGGTGAGCAGAGGTGAAGTGTTCCATGTTGTGTTGACTGTGTACAAAAAAGAAAAAGTATTAATCTCTCACAAAAGGGCAAAATTGGGAAGCACTTTAACTCTGTGGCTAAGCCCAAAGGTTTAGTTTTGTACATTCTGCATTCAAATCCTAGCTCTGTCATTTCCTGGCTGGATGATCTGGAGCCAGGATCTCTCTGCCTCTTTTCTTATACATATGACATAGAAATAGTACCTACTCCATAGAATCCCTGTGAGAGCAAAGTGAGATAATTCATGAAAAGTGCTTAGGGACGATGATTCCTGGCACATAATAAACTCAGTCAATTCGCAGCTATGGGGAAAGTCACTGGAAGCAAGGAAGAACTTGCTATTTTTGTAACTAAGACTCCAAAAGGAAAAAAAAAAACACTTTTGATTGTGCCAGCTGGGGTGCTGGCCAGTTTGTTGTGCTTGTTATGCAAACTGACATTTTCTCCCTTTGTCTCATCCCATGCTGGAGAGCCCAAGGTTAACATTTTACTCTTCAACTAAACCAAGCAATCTTCTTCCCAGGTCTCCTTATCTTTCTCTGATCACCAGGGAGTAAACCTCTGTTGACCAAGGCATACAGCTTCAGAGATATGGTGCCAGTAAACCAGGAGATAAAAGCCAAAGTTTTGAGGACATGTGTTTTGTCATATACTTCAAACTGAGTCTCTAATCACCCCTTTAAAAAACTGACATTTTCTCTCAGAAGGGGGACATTAGAGCTTTGAGAGGTTGACTCTGTCCTCTTCATCTGATAAACAATAATAAAACTATTTCCTTTTCCTCAAAACCCTGCTCTGATTACTTGTGAATAGGCATTGAGGCCAGGGGACTGGCTTTCTGGTAACATTTCCAGCTCATTAAAATGTTTCACTAGCCCACTATTCAGGCAGGCTACCCAGTCTATCTTGTCTCATTTATAAATTAAATTATGTCTTATCCATTATAGTTACCCAACTATAACTCTTTCCTACTCCAGGAAACAGTACTACATCTGTTAAGCAGCTGAAATAGCAAATTCAATTTTCCTGCCATCTCACCTTTATTCTTATCACCCCAACTAGCCACTTCTAGGACTCAATTGGAAAGAACTAAAATGTTTTTTAAGAAAGACTCAAAATTCAAAGATCCCTCCTTTGCTGGCTCAGACATTAGCCTCCACCAATTCCATTACGTTCTCAATCACAGGCTCCCAATCTGGGTGGACAGGAGCACAGAGTTAATGCAAGAGGCTCACAATTTCAAATTCTGTTCTGACTAATAAATTACAAATTACTGATTTACAATATTTTCTCAATACATGGATGCTAACTATACCACGATTCTCATGTATGTGAGGGCCTTTAATATCTTTTGACATTTCAAAGCATGTGGCCATCAGGAAAAGACACAAGTGTAATAAGAAAAAAAATATAGATCACTTGTCTCTAGGTAATATGGAGCTGTGTGCCTAGGTCAAAGATAATAAATGCCTTAAAACACTAACCCAGTAATTGAAATAATTAAGACAAATCGGAAAGTATCAGAAATAGTCTTTTCCCTTGACTTTTCTATGGCAAGAAAAATTGGAAATAGAAGAAGCTTGCTTTCCCTCCTCTGCTCCCCAGTATAGATGTCCATGCATAAAGGAATAGACTGTCTACATGTAAATCCCAAAATTTTACCCACACAGGAGTCAGTCAATAAAAACATGATTAAGTGTTCATAGTGCCTTCAAGTAGCTCTTACCTGTCCTGCCATTCAGGAGAATCGGTTTGCCTTCCAGATCTCCTCTCATGGGGACAACTGTGATCTTATATTCTGTCCCAGGCTTCAGACCTGAAAACAAGAAGCATGGATATGAGGACAGACTAAGGAACCCCACTCCCAGCACTGTTCTTCCTGGATTATCCTCTCCTGGATTTTTCTTATGGGGGGGAGGAGTTATGCTTTCCCCCCCATTCCCCACTGAAGACTAATGGTATAGGCAGGCAGAGACCCAAGGTCAGTGGATATGAAACAACATGGAGGGGACTATTGGTCCAAGGAGCTGCTGTTCCTTGTTGGGCCATCAAGCACTTATTTCCCAGTTTTATTTATAGCCCCAAATGTTTTCCTGCTCCTAACAATCATCTTCCCTCAAACGTTTCTTCTCATTGTAATAATTAGGCTAGATTTTTCCCCTTTTCCTTTTTCTTTCTTTCTTTTTTTTTTTTTGTTTTAAAGTTATTTCTCTGTAGAAGCAAGTTGGGTGATTATTCTTCATGGTACAAATATTCAGAATCCAGTGGCAAAATGAAAACAAATAGCAGTGTGTATGAGGCAATACATTCAATCTTCACTCGACAAATATTGAGATGGTCTCTCAAGAAGGAACTGAGTGAGTGGAGGGCAAAACAAGGACCCAGAGGAGGAGTTATCACAAAGCTAATGAGCCCCAGGGCCCCTCACTTATATAGGCTTCTTCTGAGGTCCTGTGCCTAACTGGGTAATCATAACTGTGTATTACTTTTCTTAAAGTAGGCCCTAAAAATTGTACAAACTTCAAGCATTACAAAACTTGATCCATTCTTGAGTCCCAGTTTCCTATGTTCCAGCTCTCAGTACATTAGCTGTCATCTGAGACAGGAAGTCCCCACTCTAAGTCCTAACACAACCCTTCTAGCCATGGTGCTCAGCACATCTCTCTTTTTCCCTCTTTCTCTCTCTCTCTCTCTCTACCTGTCTCCTCCCTCCCATCCCCTGTCCCTCCACACACACAAACACATTTTTCCAAAAGGAATGTCTGTACACTATCAAATCCACCCTAAGACACAGACAAGTTCTTCAAGAGGGTTGACTGATGTGGAGGACCATTCAGAAGTATGCTGTTAATGAGGTGCTCTGAGACTCCAGCCCTGGGATACTGGAACAGAGTCTGCAGGCCTGCTGCTTATGTTTGGCAGTTGCAGAGGTCAGAGGTCTAGTGTGATACCTAGAGAACAGGATAGCCTGTGCACATTGTCTCCACCTCAGCATCCACAGCAAACACCTCACGCTCCCAGTGTTGGTTCTTACCAGTGATATCATATCGACTCTTGGGGTCACTGCTTTTTGGCACAGTGACCTCATCCACCTCCTTCCCTGTCAAGGGGCCATACCGCAGCTTATAGTAGTCCACCTCTGTCAGGGGGTTCTCCCACTCCACGTCAAGGGAAGTCTCAGTCTCTTCTGTCACCCAGGCAGTGCCTACCACAGCAAGATCTATGGCAGGGGACAAAGAAGGCAAAAGAAAGTGGTGAAGACAGTCAGGATACATCAAGAAACCCCTTTGAACATTGACTTAGAAATTAATAATAAAAGACAAGACTTAAAATTGGTACAGTGAGGGGGTACTTGTGGAAGGGGGAGGGAGAATAAAGGTAAGGGAATATGGTTGATGGAATTCATATACCTATATGAAATAGAACAATGAAACCTCCTGCCATTGCTTGAAGTGGGAAGGGAAAGAGTCAAGGGAGAGAGATGGTGGGAGTAATCTAACAAATGAACAATATAAGCCTATTTGGAATTGTCACAATGAATCCCCCCCTTTATAATGAATATATCCTAATAAAAATTGTAAAAAGAAAAAGAAAGTGCTAAAAAGCAGAGGTTCTGAAGGTCTGAAACAGCTCTCTTCTTGATGCACTGAGAGACAGCTTCAGCCTTAACAGGGATCCTAGAACTATGCAGGTAGCAACTAAACTGTTGTTTTTGGTTTTACCACAGAGAGCAAACTGTCATTCTGAAAAGCCTCTATCCTCCCCCAATCCTGTCAGATGTCATGATGCCCTCCCTGTCCACACAGACTCTGGTCAAGCCCAAGCTGCCCCTCCCAGGCTGGCATCCATGCTACTCAATCCAGGGTTCAATATTGGCTGCCCACTTGTCAAGGCTGTGGAACAGGGAACTAGTGCATCAGGCAGGGTGTGACTTGGTGCTCTCAAGTTCCCTTGGCTCTGAGCATCTCTGAACCCCAAAGCCTTTCCTCTGAAGCCTTTCCTCTCACCTCCAGCTTCTACCAACCAGCCCTCAGGTTCTGTTTTTTACTTCTTTCAAAGATTGAATTCCCCAAGGAACAAAAGGAAAATAATAAAGGTGACTCAAGAATTGTACTATATGGTCCTAAATGGTTCAAGAGAATTGGGAAGGATTCACAAATCCTTAATGAGAATGTTCAAGGACTTAAATAGAATGTTCAAGATTATGGAGACAAGTGTCGCTTTGAATAAGTTTAACTTCACCCAGATTAGAACAGAAGACAAGCGTCACACTAGCAAGATTTTACAAGTCCCTAAAACAAGACACCAAGAGGCGTTACTAAGATATTGAGAACAGGTGTTCATTACTTTCCCTAGGACCCTGGACACTATGGCCGGATGCAGCCACAGACAAAAGCAGGCCCTGCTAGCCAAAAGCTAGCCTGGCTATTACAGCTAGGACTTGCTGTTCTTCCATGGACATAAACCACTTCACAGAACATTAGTGTCAGACAAGGCCACTCTGTGACAACACTAGACCAAGACAAAAACAGGACCATTCTGTGACTGTGTCTAAACACAGAAAAAAACAGGGTTATTGTCCAAATAAATGACTAAATATTCCCTCTGCTGACTAATAGGCATGACTGCTATTTCTTTCCAATCACAGATTTAGCATCCCTTTAGACTGTCTTCTTTCTAGAGAAAGTTCACTAAGAGACCCAACCACAAAATCACACCAAACTCTTGACAGCATCCAATTCAAAAAAATTCCTTGATTCTCTAAACCTCCCTTCAAATTACCTAACCCAAGCCCAAATTCTATAAAGAGCCCTCTCTTAAATTCTCTTAGAAATTCTGCCATGATGGTTTATGCTCTCCCACACTAAAACGATCAAAAGACCCAACTTGTTCAACTCCAGAAGTTATTTCTAGAGGTGTTGGGCTGGAGGGCACTGTCAAAGGCAATATAAATTTTGCCCTCACGCTGCCAACTCTCTCATGGCCCTTTCCAACACTGACCTACCCTAGCCCACTCTATTTCCACCGCCACAAAAAAAGAAGGAAAGAAAAAAAAAGTTGGGCAGTCTGATGTTTCTCCAAACCCAAGTCCCATCCATCTGGATCTGCTTGGATCTTTCTCCAGGAGTTTATGGCAGGAGAGAGACAGTGCATTTTTATCAACTCCTAAACAGTACTCAATAAAAAAGTGTTGAGTGAAAGAATGAATCAGAACCAGTCAAACAATTAGTTTTCTCAAAACCTTTGAAGATTTAAGCTGCTTTGAGAATTTTTTTTCATGAGGAAACAAAGATTTCTGAAGAGTGTTAGTTGCCAGGCAGCCACTTTTAGGGGCAAGCACCTATACTTGCAGGAGGAAAAGCTACTGCCCCTTTAAATAACTTAACAGGGCTTCAACTTCATTGTTTTGTTTTGTTTTCAAATGGGGTCTTTCTATGTAACCCAAGCCGGCCTCAGACTCCTCATCCTCCTGCCTCAGCTTCCTGATTGCTAAGATTACAGAAATGTACCACCACCACACCTTAAAGTTGAGGGTTTTTTTAATTGTTGTTTTGGCAGCTAAATGCCTTTAGAGAAATACACAAGGAACCAAACAAAATGGCTGAGCCACTCTGACTCATTCTTTTTCATTATAATACTAAATTCTCTGCCCAGAAGCCTTGGCATCTGCCATTTTTTTCTTTTGAACGTATGATCTATGACCTTAAACTGAGTATGCCCACCTCTACAAGTGATGATGAGTCTTTCTCATATGAATACATTTCTCAATAAAACCCCCTGCTTTCTTTGTTTGGAAGAGAACACTGCTTTGAGAGTTATCCCCAGGGTTTTCTTTACTTGCTGAACAAAACAAACCTCTCTCGACTCTTTTATCTCCTGGCTGTGCTTATTGACTTTGCACTCACCAAGAGGCAAACTCATGGTGTTCAGTTACACAAGCAGAGATGCTTGTCCTTCCAAACATTTTGGTGGTGTTTGGTGGTGCACAGAATACTTTGTCCCTAAAAACCAGTCTCCACCAGCCTCCATCTGCTCTGTACTCCAGGTTATGACTTTGCAATTTAAGTCAGCCAGGGTCCTTGCCCTCTGGGCCTTGGGTTCAGCAAGTGGAAGTCACTAGCAGATCAGAAAGTAGGAGAGAAGTCTGGTGAATGATTCAGTTAAGATCAATCTATCAAAGCACCTCATCAGGTAGCCTTTTCCTACAACTTTTTCTGGGTCCAAGTACCAACTCCCATCCCTTGCTCCTTCAGGCTGGCGTGGATCCTCACTGATGCTAGTCCTGGGGTGTTTCACTGTCCAAACCCTATTCATGCCTTTCTAAACCTCTTCTTTAAACTTCTTTACTTGCCCCATTTGTGTCCTCTCTTTACTGCTGAGATAAATCTTATTGACACAGTAACTTCTCACCCATCCTGACCTGAACTTGCTGAATGGCCTTGGAAGCTCAGTGAAGGGCTAAAGATGCAGGGATACTCTTTGGTTGCTTGTCTTGGGATACAAGATAATCTTAGGGACACAAAGGATGCCTTGAGCCCCAATTCAGCAGGCTGCCACTACTGTCTTGGAGGACTCAATAATCAGGAAGCAGGGAGAGGAGAGAGAGAATTGGAACTCTCTCCAGAACCTAGGACTACAGCAGCTGTGGTTTTTCAAAGGGTATTTGTGGGAATGGGGGAGAAAGCATTTAAAATGAGGCCTCTCCTGGGAAACCTTGGGCATTTAGCTGCTCACCTGTGGTGGCAAGGAGGTGCTGTGGGCTGCTGAAAATGTCTTTCTTCACATTGCGCAGAGTGACTATATACTTGGTACCAGGCAGTAAGCCAGGAATCTCATAGCTGTGCTGCTCCTTGGGCACTTGGATCTGCTTGGTAGACAGTTCCTTCCCCAGGGGATAGTAGCTTAGCAGGTAGTGGTCCACATCACTGGAGGGCTCCCAGTTCACCAGCAGGGAATTCTCTGTGCTCTTGAGCAGCTGCAGGCCCTGAGGTGTCACCACTGTGTGCAGAACAGAAACAAATGTGGAAAGAGTGAGGGATAACAGGTGAAAATCCTTGTCAATGAGCGTTCATCAGCACTGACTACCTACTTAACACTATTGTGATAGGCCTACTGATGCAGAACCATGTATACCTCAGTTCTTCACACCCTTCCTCAGGAAGTTATTACCTAGTTAGGAGTTCAAACTGACCTCTGCTCCCTACACACTGAGTCATTAGGTCATGAATAAGATCCAGTGGTCTTCAAATTTCAGACCCTGTCACCTGGGAACCTGATGGGTCGCCAGCGCTGGGGGCGGGGCCCAGCAACCTGTGTTTTAAAGATCCTCCAGGGGATTCTGATGGAAGCTGAAGACTGAGATCCCTTCAGAAGACGGTGAAATTGGTGGTGGAAGGAAAGGTGGACGGTAAGGCGCATCTCCATTCTCACCCTGTGAGCAGTCCGGGCCGGTGAAACCCAGCTCGCAGTAACACTCCCCGGTGTCGCAGAAGCCATGCCCGCTGCAGTCGCCAGGGCAGCGCAGCTCGCTGCAGTCCTCCGACGTGAAGTCGTCGTGGCACTGGCAGACACCTTGCACGCACACGCCGTGTCCACTGCAGTCCTGGGGACAGGACGGGTAGGCGCAGTCGGCCCCCACGTAGGGCTCGTCGCACAGACAGCGCCCGTCCACGCAACGCCCGTGACCACTGCATGCCCCGGGACAGGTGGGCTGCTCGCAGTCTGCGCCCTCCCAGCCCTGCTCGCAGTGGCAGCTGCAGGTCTCAGGGAGAAAGGTCCCATGGCCGCTGCAGTGACGACCCAGATCTGAGTGGGAGAAGAGAAACAGTAGATGCTGGGTGAGGATCTCCTCCCTTGGTGACTGGACAGAGAAAGCTGACAATTTCTGGGTCATGTGTGGCTCTTTGGACTATGTCTTCCCTTTCCAGCTGAGCTCAACCTGCAAAATCTAGCTTTCTCCTTTCTCTGCCTGAAAAGCTGCACCCAGCCTCCTTACAATCCTTTCCCTTCCTAGGTGAATTCCCAGGTTCCTTCCTGTCTGAGTGATGGTAATTGTCTAGTGCTTTTCCATGAAGGAGTTTAAACGCTTAACACTGACAGCCAGCCAATGGACACTAAGGGGAAGGGCTCCTGAAAGAGACAGGTGACATCCAGGCAGGTGGGAGTTTGTCTTATTCTAGTGGAGGGGGTTGGACCTAGCAAGACCCTGTGCTTGTGAAATGGGCCATGTGGAAGCCTGGAAAAGCAGACCTACAGAAGTCTCCCTTATGGGCACGAAGGGTGGGCCGAGGGGTTTCATCAGTCTCCCTTTCCAATCCTATACAACAAAAAGCATCTGGAGGTTAGGTGGTTCAGTGAATCCCTTCCCCAGTCCCTTCTGTTTCTCAGGATACCTTCTTTCCTTCCTTGGGACACTTCCAAAGTGGGGGCTTTCAGGGGCAGTTCCATGCTGTTTCATTCAAGGCAGTGTCTGCGTTACCTGGTTCTGTACCTGCCATGCAGGAACTGCTGTTATCCGTGGCAATTCCTTCAGATACATACATTTGCGTCAAAGTAGCTCTCACAGTCATTTGGTTCAGTCTTGGCAATGTATGTTTTTAAAAGGCAGAGGAAACTTCACTATTTGTAAAATCTAATTGTACCTTCTTACATGAAATAGTGACAATCTCCTGAATACCTACTATGGGCCAGGATTCTAATACATATCGTCTCTGGTTCTCAGAACTATGTTGACTGATAGAATTACCGTCATTGGACAGTTGAGGAAACTTAAAGGGATTTGCCCAAAGTGGCTAACTCTTTCCTCCACATCCCATGGATTCCCCTTTGAGTAGAGATTGGGTCTCCAGGGAAGAGAGCCCCTGAAAACATTCCCATCTGGCAGCATCATCAGCCCTATACTCTAGCCCCTCCTCAAGAGCTGCTGCCCTCCTCCCCACCCCTGGAGCTAGTACCAATGAACAGATAACAGGGTCATGCCCCTACCCAGAATGACAGTGATCATGAAGCTGTTGGAGCATCCAGCACATAGTAAGCCTTGTTAAGTATTTGTTGAATGAATACCAGGTGGTAAACTCACCAGCAGCTCCTTGGCAGCAGCGCTGGGCACTACACTGCTCCTTCATCTCTTCCATCTCTTCCTCCAGCTTCTTTACCCGGGCCAGGAGATCCCGGACACTGTCTGCCAAGTCGCAGTCTTGTGGCGTCTGAAGGCGGATGTTGTGCCTGAAAATGAAGTTCTGCTCCTCCCCAGCCTCCCCCAAGGCTAAGAGCGAAGTCCCATCATCGCTGAGGGACTGCGGATCAGCCTCCACCTGGACCAGGGCAGATTTTGGCACATCAATCTTGTAGGTGTGGCTCACGGTGACCTGTTGCTCCTTGTTGCTGCAACCATGAGGCTCCGGAGTGGCTGGGGCTGAAGCCACCAGCAGCACAGGGCCAAGCAGGAGCACCAGGGGAAAACCAAGCATCCCCTGGAGACCCATCCTTAGAGAGACTGGGATCAGACACTCCAGGAGACCTAGACCCAAAAGAAACAAAAAGAAAGATGTGAGACTTGTCAAGGGAAATTGGCATTTTTAACACTCTGAGAGTCCACGGGAAGCTGAGAAAGCAGCAGAAAGAATTCATCCTTTATCTCCTGAGGATCCAAACTCAGTATTTTCTGTTCCTTCCTTATACTGTTTGCATTCCTGTCTCCTGTCTGTGCTCACGTGACTCACAGTATCTGATGCTCTTCTCTTCATTTCTAATCTAGGCTCACCTGCACTTTAATAACAAGGAGAGCAGCCCTATTATGTTGAGGGTCTACTGTGTGCCAGGCTTCAATCCCCTTAATCCTAAGCATAATAGCCCTAATATCCTCTTCCTTCACAGCATCAACAATAGCTGCCCACAGAGTACTTGCGACATGACAGGCACTATTCTGAGTATTGCCCATTTACTTACTCATTCAGTCTTTACACTGACCTTTTGTGGAATAAGCCAGCATTACGCTCATTTTACAGACGGAGAAACTGAGGTACAGTTACCTTACATGACGTGCCCACAGGCACACAGATAAGAGTGGCAGATTATTGTTGTTGTTATTGTTGTTGTTCTGAGGATTGAACCCAGGGCCTCATGCATACTAGGAAAGTGCTGAGTTTTCCTAGCGGGGATATTTTAAACCCAGACTATCTGACTTCTGAGTCCACGCTCATCACCAGGATGAGCTGGAGAGATTAAGCAAGTTGTCCTTAGTACCATAGCCAAGAAGGGCAGAGCCTGTACTCAGACTCAGCATGCACACCATGTACTGCAGTACACCACTGTACTGCTCAGGACTCCTGCATATGAGCCAGTGGAATATAAGAACTTCTAATAAAAATACCATCTCCGCAAGGTTTTCTCTCCTATCCCCATCGTACCCTAGCTGCAAACCAGCTCCATCTCTCTCTGCTAAGCATTCAGGGAAATGAGCTGGTCCCTCCTTGTTGGTCGTTCGTGTACACAGCTTTTCTGCCCTTCAGACTGTAAGTTTCTTGGAAACATCCAAGGTGGATTCATCTTGGGATCCTCCTGAGGCAGGACACAGAGTTACACACTGAGGGGTGCTGTCACTGGTCCTCAAATCCATTGATGCAAGGGTGGCCCAGTTTGTCAGTCAGGCAACCCAGGCCAGGCAGTCAGTGAGGTTTTACAGAACTTTCACCACTGCAAAAGGACCCCTCTCCCCAGCCCACTTCCTTTGTGCCACCCATGCCAATCAGGGATGGCACATTCTCTGATCATCAACAAGCTGAGACAGGACAGACCTAGAGACCTGGTTCATGCCTTATATTAGCACACAAGAACCTCATTCAGGAGAACACAGGTTGGTTGGGCTGGCACGGCACCAGTTACCTAGAAAGCCATCTGCCCAGCTGCCTCTTGGCAATGGTTTTCTGCAACCAAATAAGACTTGTAATTATTTGTACCAGAGTCTGAGCTCAGGAAAGCCTGAGCTTGGGCAGCTGCAATGTGATAGAAAGACAAAACAGACCAGTGCTATAAGGATGTGTAGCCTTGGGAAGGCCATTTATCCCACATTTGAGCCTCCTCATCTGTAAAGAGAAACAATACTGCTTCACATCCTTGCAGCTTATCTGGACAGCATTTAGTACCCTGTCCAGCACATAATAAGCACCAATAAATGTTTTGAGGTTCCTTTTATTTTTAATCAGCTATTGAGTGTGACTTTATTTTTCTTCTCCAGCTTTTTATTGTGAAAGATAATGCCTATACTGAAAAAAAGCATACAACACAGATTGTACAGCTTTAATGAATTGTTGTAAAGGCAATAGCCATATACCCAACACCAAGGTTAAGAAGAAGATTAAGCCAGGTGTGGGGGCTCATATCTATAATCCCAGCACCATAAGACCTAGTATCTGAGAACACACACACACACACACACATACACACACCCTCAGCAGGCACTGCCTGTTTTCCAACTCAATATTTAAGAGTCAGCACAATGCCATCAAAAGAATTGACCTGTTGGTCAGAAAAAGGGATAAGCCTTCCAAATTACAAAACCAAATTCTAATACTGTGTAAAAATTTTAACTTTTAGCAGTTATTGTTTATTTAGTATCAGGAAGTAGATTAAATAGACAATGCCAGGGCCCTGGCAGAATATTTAAAATAATGATTGCAATAATACTAGTCAGTGTTAGTTATCAAATTACTGCCTCATGTCAGGCATTGGTCAGTGTGTAGATCCTCATAATTGCTTCTCAGAGCTGCTGTGACTCTCCACAGTCCATGGGTAAGGAAACTCGGCTTGAGAGTAAAAGTCACTTATAGGGGTTACCTTAGCAGTAAGTGGCAGAATCAGGATCTGAACTCGGCCATATGATTGGAAGCCTATGTTTGGTCTTCACCAATATGACATTCCAATACAAATATCAAAAGGGTTTAGTAAATAGGTGTACCTATATAATGTCCTCATTTGGGATATGCTACCATCAAAAACTAACAAGAATGGCACCAAGAGAGCATTCATTATATTATCATTATTATTATTATTGAGATATAATATTTGTACATCTTTATAGGATAGAGTATGATAATTCAGTGTATGTATATAACATGTAATAATTGAATCAGGATATGAGCACTTCTGTCTCCTCAAACCTTCACCATTCTTATCTTGGGAATTTTGTACTATTCTTTTCCAGTTATTTTGCAAAAGAGAGGGTCTCCATGTTACTTCTTTGCCACACTTATTCCTTCTTGGCTCTTTCTGTCACCCACTACATGTATAGTTGATAAAAAAAATAGCTCTCCTTTTCTGAGCATTTACTATGCTCAGAAAACACACTGGACTCAACACCCTGCAAATGGAATGAACAGTCAGGGGAACATTTCTTACTGTCTTAGTATTTGGACCCTGTATAGAGAGCTCCACTAACGGAGTTTGGGAGGTGAGGGGAACGTCAGAGTGAAGAGAGAGTGGCAGGCAAAGAGACTCTGGCCAGGAGGAATTTAGATGTGGACACTTGGCTGGTACAGGTTACATAGCAGAGAGAAGGGAAGGCCTCACAGTGGGAGAAACCTGCAACGTGGGATTTGGTAAGACCAGGTCAATGTACAGAGCAAGTCTCTTTACAGTCCCAAGAGGGCAGCTGGGGCTGGAGCTGAGGCACAGCCTCACAGCTCAGCAGGGGTGCACTAACCAGTGGGCAGTTACAGGAGATACAACTGGATGGGGGAGAGGGTGGCAGAGGTTGGGAGGGGAGGTTCCTGAAGAATCCACAAAAACCTCCCACAAAGGGTACTGGGCCAGCATTAGCAGCATTTGCTAATTCCAAGGCCATCCAGTAAGGAGAGGGAATTACAACAGCCCCAGCTAAACAAAGGGCCCTTTCCCTCCTGGGGAGGCCAGAGCAGCTGTGCCATTTGGGAGGCCTGGAAGAGGAAAGTGCCAGGCCCGGCCCTGACCTCTACCTATATGTAGATTCCAGCCTCATCTGAGCGGGAAAGAGATGAAAAAATGTGACCTGGAAAGACTATCAGGTTCTTATAGGGCTAAGGATTTGCCTTCACAAAAGTGATTCTAAGACCAAAGCAAGCAGAAATGTTTAGGGATCTGCTTGGAACTTTTGTGAGAGGAGGGAGAAGTGGGGGAGCCAGTGGAATGAGTTGGAAGGCAGGTGTGAATAGAGATGATGATATTTCACAATTGCTGTCCTGAAAAGTTCCACTCAAACCCAGGTGCTTAGTCTCTGGCAATGGAGCCCTTAACCCATACATACCTTCAATACTAAAGCACTTACTGTGTGCATAGCACATGAGTTCCTGCTGTCTAAAATCCCCTTCCCCAGCAACAATGGCCAGAAAAGCTGGCTTCCAGACCACTCCCACCATGGATGGCCAGCCCCACCCTGTGGCTTACTATTCCTGACACCTAAATGGAGTGCAGATGTTTTTCTGAGAAATTCTGAACGAATGCAAAAAAGCCAGGGACTCTTGCCATAAACTACAGCAAGGCTGTCCAAAGCCCCGTCTCACAGTGTTTGTTTTTGAAGCCTGGAAAATGAGAAACCCCAGAAGCACTTGCAGGATCCCTCCATGTTGCCTGTCCTTCTGAATTATAACAAGATGTCCTCACTAATTACAGCTTCTTAGATTCCACACGTTGAGCTCAGATTTTCCTGGGCAGAGTGATTGTTCGAAAGAAGATGAGACCAGGAAATCCTCAACACTGTCAAGTGTAACAAGCAAGAAGAGAAGCTGCTGGCTCTAGCTACCACACGTGGCAGGAAAGCGCCTTTCCTTGTTGAATACGTTTTGGTATGCATAGCACACTGCAGCCAGCTCCCCAGGGTTGGGGGAGGGCTAGGAGGACACTGCATTTCACCAAAAAAATGCAGGATGATAAGTTTCTCATAGAGATGACCTTTCTATCTATGGATGGGGTAGTTTCTCATGAAAGGTTGGGTAGATGCTGTAGGGATGCATGAGGCAAAGGGCATTTACATACAGGAAATGTGCATGCAAAAAAAGCACCAGAAACCAGGTGTCCCCAAGAACCAGTCTTATTGAAGCTGACCATGTCTTTAATTCTTACTGCAGTAGTATTGGATGGTGTGGGAAGGTAGGCAGCATAGGTAAGAGCAAAAGCAGCCTCATACTGCCTTTTTGAGGCTTTTCAAGGTGTGTGCTGATTACCATGAACTCAGTGGTTGGGCCCCTGGCTGCAGAAACAGTGATGTCAAAGAACTCTAGGTTAATGCTCTATTTCCTCTTGCTTGGGAGCTGCATTTACCCTTATGTCTTTAATTTCTAGTTAGACATTAACAGCTCCCAAATCGGCATGAATGTCCTTAGCCCAGATAAGGTTACATCCCTGTAAGCTCAGGGATGGCAATGACCATAACTATATCCATTCCCTCTGTATCCTCAGCCTCCTAGCACAGCCCTGAACAAATATATTGTGAATTAAATTATAATGGTCACAGACTGGTGGAGTGGCTCAAATGGTAGAGTGCATAGTTAGCAAGCACAAGGCCCTGAGTTTAAACCACAGTACCACCAAAAAATTAAAATAAATATAAAATAATAACAGTCACTAGATTTTGTATGTACGTTTATTAGATGATGGGTACTTTGCCTAACACTTTATAAACATAAGCCTCATTTAATCTTCAAAATGCTGTCAATTGATAGCATCCTTTGTTACAAGTGTTCATAGAGGTTAATTTGGCCAAGGACACACAACTAATAAGTAGCAGAGCTGGGATCGCACACCAGATCTGTCCACTGTCCATGTCTGAATTCTATATCTTTTTGCAATATGAACTATATATGTGGTGGTGGGTACACCAAATGTTCCTTTTCCTGCCATATTCCTTTTAAGAGAGTTCTGAAAATAAAGAAAACCCAAGACCCACTAGGTACCCAGCAAAACATTAATTAAGCAACAACTATGCCCTAGACCACACTTCCTCTGAGCAGAGTCAAAATGATCCTTGAAAGATGAATTGTGTTTTCTCCATAGGGAGGTTAAGTCCCAGCCACTTCCCACAAGAAGCTAGAGAATCCTCTTCCTAGGAGATAACAAAGTGCATCAAGACCTCTGTCCACTGGGGCAAAAGGTGGCCAAGACTTAGCCAGGGAGAAGGGTGGGCTCTCAATCCCAATGGTCTTCTCTACCCTGAGGGCTGATGGCCTCTATGTCACCTTATTCTTTCCAAAGAAGGACACACACTCTGCCTTGGGGGGAAAAATACTACTTACACATAGAAAGCAGTAGCCTATTTCTAGCCGCCATTGCTGATCTCTGTGCTTAAATTCAGGGCTTTTTCTGTTCCCTCATTACCTCATCCTGCCTTCCTGGTTAACCACAAGCAAATGAGAGCACTGCTTTGGGTTTGAGAAAACCGTATTATCATAGATTTCCAGTGGAGTCACTTAAGAAGGTATTTTGTCCCCAAATGACAGGGTAGACATCATGGAACTATGAAGGAAAATGAAGGTGGGTAGTTAGGGGTGCACTGATGTCACAAATGTCACTGCCAAACTTGTCAGTCCTTCCTTAACTCTCTTGAGCATAGTTTGCCAATGGTCCACAACTGGGGCTTTGGGTGACTCAGGGCTCTGTGACCTGAGTTCTTAGTCCAGGAGACCAAGTTCTCAGGATACCGAGAAATATCCTGGACAGGAGCCCTTAGGCACCCCGTTTCCCTTCTGTATTCCCTTATCCTTCAGTATACAAGAGTGTTCTCCTAAGTCAGCCTCAAATTACTCAAGTACATATAAACGTTTTTATCTGTGACAATGAACGCTCTTCACAGGCATTCCATACAATGCAAGACAGCTAGGTGTGGATGAGAATGCAACTTGGGTTTTATATGATAGATTTAATACCATCACATTCCACTCATGGCTGTGTGCTCCCCATACTCCTTGATCAGTGGGGTTCACCCAGTGAGTCCCCAGGAAGTGCTTATAATGATTGTCACATCCCCAGGCAATAGCCCTCTTGTTGAAGGATGCTTTCCACGGAGGCTGCCTCCCCACCAGGTGCAAAAAAGACAAAGGATGGCACCCCTGATCAGCCTAGGCACTCAATCACTTTTTCAGGGTTTTCCACAGGTTTGCTTTGCTCATTTTTGTCAACTGAATTTTAATCCACCTGCAAAGACTCGAACGGGTGATGGTAATAGGGGCTACCAGTTTCTAATCACTTATTATGTGCCAGGCTCTATGCTAAGCACTCTAAAAGGTTTCTGTGAACAACAGATACATTTGTCCATTTATCCCCAAAGGAATGACTTACTTTCTCACAGAGAGACCTTCTTTCAGCTTTCATTGACCAGGCTCATGCACAATGAAAAGATAAAATAGACACAGGATCTAAATCCAGAAACCATCCTTTTCCACATCCAAGCAAACAGCCAGTCCCCAGAATGACTATTACTTGATAAATGATTACCCTATTCCCTCTGGGCATGAGAAGCATCTGATCACATCACTGCTTCAGCTGAGTGATAATGAGGAAAGACACATAATGAAAAATTACAATTCCTTTCCTTAGCTTTAATATGTAGTTTCCCATATATTGAAATAACTTCAAAGTTCCAGTCTTCCATCAAGGAAAAGAGACATTACCAATTTCCAAGGATTTGTACTGTTCTGCCATACTTGCTGGGTGCAGATTTAGATAGATAGCAGCTGGTGGGCATCATGGCTTCAAATGCTGCTATGGAACCTAAGCCATAATCTGAAGTCTGCAACCAGACCCCATAGGAGTCAGGGCTCTGGAATGAGCGGTGAGTGGTCAAGAGTTTCCAAGGGCCTGGGTATGATTTCCTCAGCATCTTCTTAGGAACAGACCTCAGTCTACTCTACATTTCAAACCACAGCATGGCACTGGAATGGAAACCAGAAGCCACAAGATGACTTGGAATCATCTGCCCTATTTTCCCTGCTTTGGGAGTCAACTGCAGCCCACAAACTTGGGGATATAGGAGAACTCAAAGTTGTGTGGAAGAATGTCAGGTGCTTTCCTCCCTCAGTTCTGGGAAAAATGATACCTGGATAGACACTCCTGATTCTCTCCTGAATCCCTTCTCCCAATATTGTCACCTCACTTTGAATCCACAATGCCAAGGGCACTGAGTCTTCCAAGTGGATCCTGTGCTCTGCCACTTTGATAAGTGCATAGCCCTTGCAGAGCAGGTGACACCTTAGGTTTTCCAAGAATCCAGTGGTCTTGGGCACATGGCTTACCTATAGCCAGATGTGAATAGTTTTCTATTTTTATGTTGAGGCTGGTTTTTTTTTTAATGCTTGTATAAGCAACTCAAGTTTAATGCTTTTAAGTGAAACCCTGTCTATTCTCACTCATTGTTTCTCCCTCCTTCCTCCAGCTGTCTCCCAACCGCAAAAATTAATAAGTAAAAAGTCAGACCTTCCAAAACTAGTCTGCCACATCATTCTTGAGATGCTTCAAAATAGTTTCTTTAAGTCATTGTGAGAATAATTATATGGGAATTTTGGAAAAGAAAGTGTCTTCTAACAAATAATAATTAAAACGTATGCAATTAAATGTTGGCTAAACCTCCAAGCCCTTCAAGTGAGTTTGAAAACATCATCTTAATTAGTACACACAAAACCCAGAAAAAAGGAAAGTTATAATACTTTCCTGATCACCACTGAAATGAAAGTTCTGTTTAGGATTAAAAGAACAATAAGATACACCAGATAAGAAATTACAGAGAAAAAAAAAAAAGAAGCCTTTGACATTGTAAAGAATTCAGCAAATTAAAAAGATAAGGACATGCTAGATTTAAGGGAAACATCTAAAAATGTGCTACTCCAGGTAGAACCTGGAGTGCACTTGGCCAGGTAAGGGGATGGCCACACTAGGCATATGGGAGGACAAGGCATAACACTGACTGAGGAGACTGTTCACAGGTCATGGGAGACACTTCCTAATTCAAATTTAACCTGTATTACTTGCCAGGATTTTCAGGCTCGGAATTGAGGTCAGCCTCTGATTATCCCCACTTGGCCACCTTCCTCCCTCTCACAGGTCAAGCCTTGGCAGCTGGCATTCTTACCTGGAAGGCTGCTGGGCACCACTTTCAACCCTCCTGCCTTCTGTGAGCTGGGCCCTGGTTACTGCAGATCTCAGTGCTGGTCTGTCCCTCCTCTCTTCTCTCCTTGGCTTCCCTCCCTGGGTTTAAATCCTGTCTAGGCCAGAGGAGGAGCCAACCAAGGGGACTTTGGTATTTTCCTTCCTTTCCCACAGGGACTCCATTAAGGATTGAGCAATTCATTCTCTTATTCTAACAAGGAGAGAAAAAATACATACATTCACCTTTCATTTTTACTTCAATTACACAGCAGCTAAAAATACCAGAGGCTGTTTCCATTTAAGTAGATCCAGAATAAGTATATTTAAAAAGTTTGCATATCTCCTGGCCAGGAGCTGAGTCTCAGGGTTTGAAAGTACATTTATTAACTCTCTCTTTTTTATTTCAGGCATTCAGGGACTTATTGCCTACTACTTTTAAAATAGGGAAAGGCCTTTAGCATAAACAGAAATGAGCAGAGACTTTTAGAGACAAAACCTGCTCTGACCCCTAACTGCTTACTCCATCATCTGACACCTATGAAAGTCAGGGCTCTGATGTGGACTGAGAGAAAGAAAAGCATACCCTGGGCTTCAGGGCCCACCCTGACCACAGACCTTCCCAGTGCCTCCCACCCACTGGCTGCACAGAGCTCCATAACCAGGTAAGGGGAGCACTCCCCCTTTCGGGCCGCCCTTCCTCTTTTGCCATGAAATGGACAGATTCTTCCTCTCTATGAACCAGAACTGTTTGCATGCTCTTCCTGCCCCACCATGCCTTTCTGCCCTACCAGAAGCAGATTCTAAAGGGCAATACACACCATGGTGGAAAGAGCCCATAGCTTTCTAGCTCACCTGTGATGTAGTCAAACACTGGAAGGAAAGGAGATCAAAGAGTTACCCTCAGAAATCTTTGTTTGGAGCTTTTTGTTGTTTGTTCTGTTTTGTTTTGTTTATTTGCTTTCAAGACAGGGTCTCCCTGTGTAGCCCAGCCTGGCCTCCTTCCTTCACTGTCTTGTACCTGTGACAGGCAGGGTTACAGACATTGGTCCTGGTCTGTCCCTCACTCTCTTTTCTCCCTGGCTTCTCTCCCTGCATTTAAATCCTGTCTAGGCTAGAGGAGGAGCCAACAGGGGGATTCCAGTATTTTCTTACCCTCTCACCAGGGACACCATTAAGTATTAAGTAACTCAATCTTTTGCTCTTACTAGGAGAGAAAAAAAAATACACATTTCTTCGTATTTTTTTACTTCAATTAAACAGCTGTTTCATTTAAGTAGATCCAGAACAAGAATATTTTAAAAGTTTGTATGATGACAGGAGAGCAAGTCTCAAGTTCACCTCCCTGAGGGTAGGGTTTGGAGGTATTTATGGGATAAAGGAGAAGGGAAGTCTGAAGCATGGGGAGAGGTGACCGGAGGTAAGGAAAAATGAATTAATCAGTGATTTACAAATGCATAATCAAATGTCACAGCCCTTCATAGGATGCATGCTCACGAAATGGCAGCATTGACATGAGCTGAAGGTAGAGTTTTCAGCCCTCTGATGTCAAAAGGTCACCCATAAACACTTGCACACACACACAAGTGATTTCAACTAGTTTGAGCTAGACAAAAGTGACCCCCCAAGTTCCCGTAAATCAACTTAGACAGTTGTTACCATCATGAACAACACGACAAAGATGTTACCCATAGCAATGCTAGTAGGATAGAAGTAATATATTAATGAGCTACATGGCCTCTAAAACTGATGATAAAATCAAGTAACTAAACAAGAGTGAAGTACATTGAGTCTAATGGAGCTATTCAGATTTCCCCTCAGTTTTGGGGATGAGGGTTAGTCCAGATTCAGAGAACCTGGGTCTAAAACTTGAATCTGGCAAATGACCTTTAACTTAACCTAAAATAGGAATATTATAGCTATAGTGAAGATTGAACAAGATGATACATGTAAAGAATTTAAGATAGTCCCAAGGACACAATGAGGATTAAGAAAATACCAGCTGGTGTTGTTGCTATGATTTTTTTTACCAGTTTTGATTGCTCTTATGCATCCCAGTAAGTAGTCTTTGATAACTGCCATCTTTGTCCAGGTAGGTTCATTGTTCTCTGCCCTTCGTCACTTAGAACCACAAATAGTTCTGCCAAAGAACGTGCACTAGAATCAGGGCCAGTTGTACACACAAAGGCAATCAGTGTGATATGAATTAGGGGCTGCAGGAAAGACCACCCCCAACCCCAAACATCTCTCTTTTCCCATAGACCTTCTCTCCCAGGCACCTGGTTCTTGAATTTGAAAATCTTCTCCAGGGGCTACTAATTCCTGCTGTCTTCTTAAATTGCTCTCTCTCCTTCTTTTTTTTTCAGTACTGGGGACTGAACCCAGGGCCTTGCACATGCTAGACAAGTGCTCTACCACCAAGCTATACCCCAGCCCTTGCTTTCTTATTCTTAATTTCCTTTCACTAATCCTCCCGACATGAGCAGTCTTCACCTGCTCTCTCCATTACCCTACCTTCTAGGTCCTCTGTTATATAATAAACAAGTGCAAAGAGCTCACCCAGTGCAGCAGCTTAACAAGATAGAGAATGATTTCTCCCTCACTGAATAGGGCGGGTAGGGCAGTGTCATCATTCACAGCACATAGCCTCCACTAACTGTGGCCATGTCCAGCAAAGAGAAAAGGTTAAGGGCATAGAGAGTGCACACCATTTCTCAAAAACACAAAAACAAAAAAAACTTTGTATTTTGTAATCATTTCAGACTTACAGAAAAATTGCAAAAACATGACAAAGAATTCCCATCTACCCTTTATCATTACCTTTAACAATCTCCAAATGTTAACTTTTATCATATTTGCTTTAGTATTCATTCTTTCTATATATTTTTTCCTCAAACCTTTTGATGAGAAGGTCAGTTATTCTGCAGAATGTCCTCGTTTGCATTTGGTGTTTCTTCATGAGTAGAGTTTGGTTCTGCATTTTTGGCAGGAATCTGCAGAAGTGGTGTGTCCTCTTCCCCGTATCCTAACAGGAGGTATGTGATAACAGTCTCCCAGTGTTGGTTACGGTTATCCAAGTTTCTCCATGGTGAATATTTGCCCATTTGTAATTAATCAACAGCTCTATAAGATAAAGTAAATATCTTTCTTTTTTTCTTATATTTCTACTCACTAGTTTTTTGAGTTTTGTTGTTTTTGTTGTTTGTTGCTGTTACTGTTGAGACAGGGTTTATCTATGTTACCTAGGCTGGCATCAAACTCATGATCTTCCTGCTTCAGCCTCCAGAGTTACTAGTTTTAATACCCATTGTTGATTCACGCCTTGCTATGGTGACTAAAATGTGGGGGGAGGGAATCAATGATGATTCTTCTAATTCCGTATTTCTTTCTATATTTATGAAGTAGAATTCTACATAAAAAAGCTTTTCCTCCTCATCCCCACTTTAGTAATTATTTTAGTTACAAGTATTTAAACTAAATTACATTTTTTTATTAATCTGTGAATTATATTCTTTTACTATCATTGCCTATTTTGCTGTTCAGATGCCCCAGATTTGGCCAGGAAAAACTCTTCAGGCTGGTTCCCATGTGTTTTTAACACATCCCTGTCATTCTTTGAACAATTCCATACTTTCTGGCATAACAACGTGTCTTGCACTTTTGCCATAGCTCTTGAAGCAATTGTTTATCCAATCAAAAGAAGAAATTCAAATGGCCAAAAAACACATGAAAAAATAATCACCATCTCTAGCCATAAAGGAAATGCAAATCAAAACCACACTAAGATTCCACCTCACCCCTGTTAGAATAGCCATCATTCAAAACACCACCAACAACAAGTGCTGGTGAGGATGTGGGAAAAAAGGAACCCTAATCCACTGCTGGTGGGAATGCAAGCTGGTGCAACCACTCTGGAAAAAAAATTGGAGACTTCTTAAAAATCTAAACATAGACCTGTCAAATGATCCAGCAATCCCAGTCCTGGGGATATACCCAAAGGAATGCAACACAAGTTACTCCAGAGGCACCTGCCATGTTTACTGCAGCACTATTCACAATAGCCAAGTTATGGAAACAACCAAGATGCCCCACTACTGATGAATGGATCAAGAAAATGTGGTACTTGTACACAATGGAATTTCACTCAGCCATGAGAAAAAATGAAATCTTATCATTTGCAGGTAAATGGATGGAACTGGAGAACATCATTCTGAGCGAGGTCAGCCAGGCTCAGAAAACCAAAAATCGTATGTTCTCCCTCATATGCGGACTTTAGATCTAGGGCAAATGCAGCAATGTTGTTGGACTCGGATCACAAGAAAAGGGGAGAGCACATATGGGAGATATAGGAGGGAGAGCACATACGGGAGATATAGGAATAGGTACAAAACCCAAAACATGAAAGCGTTTGATGTCCCCACTCCAGAGGAACTAATACAGAAACCTTAAAATGACAGAGATTATCACTAGCAGGGGATCAGAAACCAACGTAAAGATCAGTTAGAGTTGAATCAACATGGGTCGTAACACATGGGTACATGAGAGCAATAGTAGGAATCTCTCTGTATAGCTATCCTTAACTCAACTAGCAAAAACGCTTTGTCTTTCTTATTATGCTTATGTCATTTCTTCAACAAAATCAGTCACAAGGGCAGAAAGGGACCTGCCTGAAACTGAGGAGGGGAGGGGGTACATGGGGGAGGGGAACAGGGTGGAGAAATGACCCAAACAATGTATGCACATGTGAATAAATGAACAAAAAACAAAACAAAAAAAACCCTTCTCTGAACAAAAAAATGGTTTATCCAAGGAGTTCTATTTTCTTTTATCAGAGAATCATTCATGTTTGGAAAAGGGCCCAGCCAGGAAGGAATGTACATCAGTTCAATTGCTTCTTATTGGCCAGAATTTGGTCACATGTTCACAGACAGATGCCAGAGCTGACGTCGCCAGTGGGAGGTAATGTGTCCAACTAGAGGTCAGGAGTAAAGAAAGAAAGCAAGAAACCAAGTGTAGTAGTACATGTCTCTGATCTCAGCA